CTTTAGAATTGTTAAATAACTGAACTATAGCAAAGCATACAAAGGCTTTCAGCCTTCGAATTATCTTCGAGAAGAATTTTCAAAGGGGAAATGATTTATATGTATTTTGTTCATAGCAGAAAACACGAGATTTTCAACGCAGTCAGCCTATTACTCTGAAAATTGAAATAAGGCAAAATTACTAGTACTCAATAGTTTTTATTCTTCGCCCGTCGCCAATCAATAGGGTGTATCATTGTTTAACACATAAGATGTAATTATTAAAAAATTAAAACTACATACATTACAAAATTACATATATAAAATTAGACTATATTATTTCTATTATTCACAAATATTCCAAGAAACAACAGATAGTCCAATGTACTTAAATGCTGTTATCATATCATTGCTAGACTCAAATTCAAATTCTTCAACATTCATAGGTTATTCTCTTATTTTAAAACATTTGTTCAATATCATCTAACCCTTTGCTTTCATTTATTATGACTTTTCTTTAATTTAATAATTGGAATAAGGTGCAAGTTCAGAAGGATTTCCAATTACTGAACTAATTTGTTTACACAATGCATCTACAAAATTTCATGATTGACAAGAAAAACTATAGGACTTCTTGGTGATAATCACCACGAAACTTTCAGACGTGATCAAGCACAAAAACAACAACCGCGAAGTGGTTTGCAGCTGCACTGAATCTCCGCAACTCTCAAAACAAGGCGTAAAAAATACCCCACCTTCCCACAATATTTGCAGCCACGGATTGGCAAGCATAACTTATCTGACAGTTTACAAGATCGTTGTATAATAAGATGAATTCCTGGTAGCATACGGCAGTAACAATATTGCTTGAGTAGCGGCAGTAACTATATTGCTTGAGTAACTGTATTACTTGAGTAGCGGCAGTAACTATATTGCTTGAGTAGAGGACAGGCACGTACAGTCTTTAATAAGTACCGATGTGGAGTTATAAATATGTTGTAAGATTAGCCAAATGGCTCGTAATCTTCATGCTGTGTTACAACAAAGATTAAGATGGCACGAACGTACCCAAAAGATGGCACAATTTCAACGTTCATTGACAAATGCTTTGCCCGGAGACTTGTTAACTCAGTCGAAGCAACAAAACTCCTCATAAGAATTACTCAAAATACAAGACAATACCGAACATAGTGCGCCAAATTGTAACGGCATTTGAGATAAGTGGTACAATAAGCCGCAAATTAGCACGAGCTCCCCGGAATATGTACAGGGTAGCTGTAAAACAATTCCCGCTATATGAACCTCTAGTGTCCTGTCCGCTCAACCAATCGAAGTGAAATTTTAAATATCATTATTTGAAGATATGTGCTCGAGATTCTGATGATTTAAAAAACAGAACTCTCACGGTTACAGTTACATTGAAAACATTTCGAAATTTTCAAATGGCAATATCCACTTTTCCTTGCGCAAACTGATCAGTTTATTGAAAAACCATAAATGGCATGGGAGCGATACGCTCATGATGGAAATTGCTGGCGTAAAACATTAACAAAGAAAAGTATTGTAAAGGACCAATAACGTTACAGAGAGAAGGTGCATTGATGCACTTTGCATACTTCTTCGAAGAGATCACCTCCACAGGTATAAAAACTTGCTCCATCACAAGTGCTCTGTGTACAACAATGTTGCAGAATTATGTAATTCCAGAAATACAGCGGCGAAATGTCGTTAATGACATTGTAGGGATGCAAGACGTTGCTCCACCACATTGCCACATGTGTTCACCAAGTGCTGCAACAGCACTTTAGAGATAGAGGCATCTCCCTCAACTTTGCACTTTCGTGGCAACCGTGATACCCCGGCCTCACTCTGATGGATTTGTGGTTGTGGAGTTAACTGAAACCTAAGGTATACACATCAAATTCACGAGATTTGTCAGAACTGAACGATGTCATGAAACTTGAAGTTATACAGATTCCTCCTGAAATGTTACGTTCGTCATTGGTGTCAACAATCTCCCGCATACAATACGTTATCGTTTGCGAAGGCGGACGCTTTGAAAACTTAAAATTATAATAAGAGTTTTTTTCATTTTCTTCTCTTGTGTTGTCATTGTCCTTTACAATGCTCTTCTTTGCAAATGATTTACGGCGGCAGTTTTCGTGATACCTGTATCATTTCAACGCCATTTATGGTTTTTCAACGCGCTGATCAGTTCGCGCAAGGAAAAGGAATGGGCGTTGGCATTCGAAACGTTTTCACTGTAACCTCAACCATGAAAGCTCTATTGTTTTAAATCATCACAAGCTCGAATGCATACCTTCAGATAATAATATCTGAAATTTCATTTCGATTAGTTGAACGGATAAACAGCTAGGGGGTCAGTATATCAAGGAATTTTTTGTATGACCACCATGTAAATCAAATTTCAAATACGAGTAAATGTGACTCTTTCAATTCACTGTTGACATTTAAAGAAGCAGCTTAAAAAAAGCAGTTATCCCAGTTTTAAATCCAGCTAACATTTCCGTCACTATCTTAAATATCTCATTCCGGACATGTGACACAGGTAGCTCTTTCACCTGAGAGTCGAACGTCGTCATTACTTGCCATTACTTACCGTCATTACCTGATGCTTTCAGCTTTGCTTGAAACTCTGACCTCTTCCACCATATTAATTCTGACACTGAGTGACATATGTGTTTTACATTCGCAAATCTATGATGGGTTACGTGATCATGACATAGAATATCTCAAATCTCACAGGTACATTATGTTTGCCAATTTGCAATTGTGAAACGTTACATTTTGCACGTGCTGTTTTGTTCATTTGCCTCACAGGGGTGACCACCTCTGAAATCTCCAGGACGATTATCACCGGAAGTCGGATAGCTTTCCTTGTTAGTGCATAAAAAACTGAGATCTGAAGAAAACTTAATTGCTGGTTTTTCTTCAATGTGATTTCTATAAAAGCATCCAAATTTATGGGACAATGCGTGTGGTATAATGGAGATTAGCTGAGTTTGAATAACACGAAAGATCTAGAAAATGAAAAGAAGGTAGAAGAAAAGAATACCATAATTATTCCATTCACAAAAAGCATCTATGGCAGATCAAGCTTTGCTTACGTAAGAATGATTTAGAGCAACATGGAAAATTTATTCAAGAAACAAATGATCCCAAACTACCATGAAAGAGACATGGGATAAGCTCAGGCATTTGGGGAAAATCCCATTATCCTACTTTCCTTATATTAACATTAAAAAAAATTTCTTTGTGCGAAGAGCATTAAAAAGCAAATTATATTGATTATTATAGATAAAAAACATTTATTCAGCGGATTTTATTATTATACGATAAAGTATGATAAAGATGCAGCATTTTTTAACGTTATTGCCCAATCTTTGTAAACACTTATCTGTGCGTTCATAGGCTTTCTATTCACCGACAACAGAAACCTGCTATTAGGTCATGAAGCTATTATAAGTACCGCTGTTTACACCTGTGCAACCGTGTTCGAATTACTGGCAATATTTGATCATAATTTTAACGTTACATAACATCTCCCGCAGATATCTCCGTAATGGCACTATGAATCTCAGTACAGGTAAGATGTTTTGCCCATAAAAATCGTACTGCTCTTTGAAGCAAGTTTTAAATTAATTCGCTATTTTGCTGTCGGACTACAGGACATCTGTCACCGCTACTACGATGAAATTATTTCCGTAGGAAGGTATGGACATCAGCTTTATTATGTGTCCGCACCATAGTTGCGCGATTCTACAAGGTAATGGCGACAGTTGTAAAATGTGGGTGGATTTGTCGGCTCTATGGTTAATACAACTCACCCAAAAGATGGCGAGAGTTGTATCTTACTTTATGAAATCTCTAGATATTTTTTTAACCTGAATAGCTAATAGAGTTCTATTGAGAGCATGAAAGCTTCGATCAGCGGCTAAGCGGTTAGAGCGCTGAATACTGATTGTTCAATCCGGGTTCAAACCCAGACGTAGTTCTGGCTGCATGGCCGTTTTCATGGTTTCCCCATGTTTAAGGTAAGTACAAGCCAGGCTCCCACAGAAAGACACGAAGTAATCTATCTCTTTAGTTAAGGTAGATAGCCCTAATGTGCTTAATCTGATAAATCTAAATCCAAATGAAACCTTCTAAGAAACATGAAAGTTCTATCTGAAACTTTTCATTTATGAAGACCAAACATTTCTCCTAAACTCCATCCGGCAGAGCTGAAGGAAAGGAAAATTTCACACGAACTCAAAATCCAAGTTATTGTACTGACTAATCACTGGGAACATCTTCCTACGAAAAGTTGTCAGACAGATTTCTCGTAACACAGTGCTGCTCACTCTGATATGATTCTTATACAAAAGTTCGAAATCCCGTAGAAAGTTTAGTAATTTCTGAGCCAAAGGGAGCAGAAAATTTTTCCAGTTGAAGTTAGTTTTATCAAAAAGTCTTACAGCAATTAAATGTAAAAGTTTAAAGCATTTCAAACTACAAATATTGCAGGTCTTTAGGCTATGCTTTCATTTGCTTCTTGGTTTAAATGAAGAAAAGAATTAATTTTCTTTTAGAACTTTATCCTTCATTCATATGTATATTAATCACTGTGACATTCCGAAACTGTGCTATTAATTGCTTTTGGTCCAAAATAATCTCGCATGTAATTTAAATTTTCTTGAAAGATTCAATTCTGTATGCAAAAGCTTTTCTGATAATTCACTGAAGTACCTCGAATTTTATTCCATAAGTCATTTATATATTAGCCCCTCCGTTCTCCTAAAAAAATACTGAAAAAGAATTTCATTGTCAGCAACTTGGTCTGCAACGAACAACCATGCTTATTATCTCACCACCACTTTTTGCTTTTATTATTCTCTTAATCTCCACATATGACGAATGAAAAGACATTCCTCATTTCTGACACTTGTATAATACATGGTAAATAACTGTGTGTGTGCAGATCTAACAAGAAATACTAAATAGTAAAATATCTTTTACAGGGAAAAAAGCAGACGCCAGAGTGGGCTAATAAGTGACGTATATTTATATCCTACAACTTAGTGGAAGACTTCAGTGTAAGAACATGCTTCAAAACTCATCAGACTCTTGCATAAAACTAACATTGTTTATTGAATTCTGTGCAAATGATTACTTGGTCATTAAAATATAAGTATCATAATTCTCTTTCTCGTGATATGCAAACGCCACTAGGTGGAAAATTGCTTAGTTTAAGAATACACCTCACCTTTTTGGATATTTTGCATGCTTTTACACAGTGTTTAAGTTGCAATAACCTAAAGAACAGAAATATATATGATAACAAGGTAAAATACCTACAGAAAGTCTCATAAGCATAGTATCATAAGTAAGGCTATAGAAACTGTTCAAAATGCATCTTTATTTACAATATACAACTGCACTCGATATACTCCGCTCCAATGTAAAATTTATTTTTGTATTATTTACTTGTATATTACTGGCGCAGATTTACAAATTTTATCTTTAGAAAACTGAGAGAAGAAAATTATGTGATGTGTGCCATTTCTGAAGGTAAGGAAAATTTTCCAAATTAAAAACAAATACTATGAAAAGATCTACAAATGTTGGTGCATTCAATGTTTCAAAGAAGCCACTTACAGTTATTGCTTTCAACATTACTTTTCTTTATTTACACATTATTCTTTTCTATCCAACTGTATCACACCTGCAGCTACCATAAATCATAAGTTTCTAAACTATGTATTGAAAAGGGTGGGGTTAAAATATGTGAATAAATGCGGTATTATTCATTTAATATGACAAGATCTATCTTACGACAAGACACGTTTGGCTAATTATGCTAACGATGCAGCGCGTGCACTTTTACAGTGGGAAAAATTAGTCCAAACCAAATAAATAACAAATTAACGGTAAAAGCGATGAAGAAGTAATTAATATATTATCGCACACAGGATAACAAAACTCCCAAATTCAGTCTTGAAGTGACATTTCTTCCAGGCATTGAGTATAAGTAACCTGGCAAGTAGAAATAAATAGCAGTAGTACAAAAACTGAGCGGCACTCCTCCTCTTTCTTCAGAACTTATCCAGTATCCTGAAAAATGGAAGATAACTGTTATGAAGCTGGATTAATCGGACACTTAGTAAATAAACCATAATACAGCCCACCCTAATAAGTATTCAATCAGTTTTTGACACAATATCACTCCAGTTTTAATAATTGCATTTATTTATAGTAATACTACGAAATTACGCAGTAACTCATTTTTAAATTAACGAATATGCCTGGACACATTTTTCCGTCGACGCACAAGACATTTTTCACATTTCATTAGAGACACATTTTTCCATAAAATAGGGAATGTTGACTGAGCAATTCATCTTTCTCATGAAAATAAAAATAAAATTTTTTGTGTTTGTCGAAAATTTTTATGTGTCTCAAATTTTAAATAAAGACAAATGTTCATAGTACCAAGATCACTAATACTTAAATCACAAAGTATAGATGACTGTTTCACGATGAGTCTTAAAACTGGAAATTTTGCACTGAAGTCTAGATCGATTATCTCTCACAAAAAGTAAAACTCCATTTGATCCGTCATCCCTTTCTTAGTTATTCACTCGTTGCTCATTCGAACCGAAGATCTTCATCACAGCTTCTACGAAGATTAACCGTTCGTTTAATGTTGAAACTGTCACACTTTTTCCTCTTAGCTTAAATCAGATTTTTCATTTACTTTAAAAAAGACTCTAAATTTTCGGAAAATCGTAGAGCGAAAGTTTTAGAACAAGAAAATTCACAAGTTCTGTTGTATATTCAGCATTACTAGAATACACAAGATTCAGAACTTATGGGGTAAAATTTAAGGACTAGTAGGACACAATACAAGTATTTTTTTGTACGAGGATGTATGGATGTAAGGGACAAACACAAAAGAAGCGAAAGGAAACATGTGAATAAATATGTGAATACTTATAGCTTCGCTAACAAAGGCCTCCTTTACAATAATGTCTCAAAATTGCATCCGGCAACAGTAATAAATCCTTGGTACTGTTTACGGAGTAATTGGAGTATACTTTCAAATACACCCTGCCGCGAAAAAATATATGCACCCAGAAGGAAAACGAACTGCTATCACAAAACTTAACATATATGTAGCGTATGAAGAGATCACATGATTACAAATTCAGAACAAAAGATCGCTTTAGTATAAAATTATGGAGTGAAAAAGGATAAAAATCAGTAAATAGTATAGCCACCTCTGGCAGCTATACAAGCCGAAACACGGCGTGGCATCGAATCAAATAGGTAACCTATGACACCACGCGGAAGATAATGCCATGATCTTTGAAATTGGGCAGTTAATTTAACAATATTCCACGACGGCTGTAGTTGCCTTCCAAATATGTCCCAAACGTGCTCTACTGGCGAGAGGTCTGGCGACCTGGAAGGCCACAGAACTAAGTCATATCCTTGAAGACATTGTTGGGAGATTCGCGCAGTATACGGCGAGCGTTGTCTTGCTGGTAAATGGCACCTGGGCGACTTGATAGCATGGGCAGCAAAACCGGCATTAAAATGTCATCCACGTAAATGCAAGCCACCATAGTGCCTTGAAGAACGACTAGACGTGATTATGTGTCCCAACAAATCGCTCCCCACACGGTCACACCTTGCGTAATCGGCGTATACTGCTCGACAATAAATACCGGATCGAACCGCCGGTCTGGCCACATCCACACTGTGCGTTGGTCATCAGTACTGAGACTGGATCGGGATTCATCGCTGAAGATGTTACCCCTCCAGTCGGTCTTACTCTAGCTTGCCCTAGTTCGACAAAAATTCATTCGACACTGCCTATGGTATAGGGGTCAGTGGTAGGCGTCTTAATGGACCTCAGCAGCATATAACAGCGTCAACCAGTCGTCTCTAAATGATTTCCCTTGACACCACCGGATACTTGGAAGGTGGTAAATGCCATCGAATTGATCCCAGCAAAGTTGTTGGGGCTAAAGTGGCCGCTCTTATGATTGCGCGATCTTCACGCTCATTTGTGTCCCTGATCCGTTGTCGCCAACACCGAGCAACTGGCATATTATCATTCGACCTAGATGGCAGCCGATACGCCTGTTCGACCAACTTGCTTCTCTGAGGCCTACTATACACTGGTGTGCAAAAATTAAGGACGAGAGGGTTTTTTCAATATAACTTTGTACAAAAGCTTTCCAAATCAACACATTTAATACCGTAAGATCAATAATACGTAAGGACATGAGTAATGTAAGCAACACTTACTAAAAGAGAAATCAGAGGGATAAAAAGAAGCTTTATTGAAAAAGTAGCATGGAGCGCCATGCGACTGAAGGCCGAAACATCCCTGTGATGGGTGTCCAGCAAGAAACATCCGGTCTTTAATAGGGGATATGATCTTCCCTGACTGCTAGGCAGGTTTCACAGCGTCTGCCCATGCTGAGAATGAGGGTGTAAATGAGTTGTTGAGGCATTGCTGCCCATTCGTCTTGCAGCGCCAATCGAAGCTCCGGAACCGTTACTGGTGGTAAGGTACGAGCTGCCAAGCGTCTGCCTAGAAAATCCCATACATGCTCGATGGGATTGAGATCCGGAAATCGTGCCGGCGAATCCATACGTTCAATATCCTCACTCTCTAAGAGCTGTTCGGCAGCTACTGTGCGATGACATGGTGCATTGTCGTCCATGAAAAGGAACTGCGGACCCATAGCGCCTCGAAAAAGACGCACATATGGAAGAAGTATCTCGTTACAATAACGGGTCCCGTTGACTGAACCTGCGTCGAAGATGTGAAGGTCTGTACGACTACCAAGCATGATGCCTCCCCAAACGAGAACACCGCCACCTTCATACCTGGCCTTTTCAATGATGTTCGAGGGATGATTGCGGCTTCCCCGCTCTCAAGATGAGTACGCGATGAGAATCGCTACTCAGACTGAATCTGCTCTCATCTGTAAAGAGTACTCGTCCCCATTCATTGTCTCTCCAATTCCGGTGTTCCCGGCACCACAGAGAACGCCTTCTCCGATGGGCAGGCGTTAGAGGTACACACCGTACAGGGCGTCGTGCAAGCAGACGACCACCGTGCAGTCTTCTAGCCACGGTAAAACGCGATAACGGTCGTCTAATCGCCTGTGTCGTGTGTCTAGCGATTTCTCCCGCTGTCTGCCGCCTGTTTCTTCTGGCCTGTAAGGCAATATACCAGTCATCTTCTGGTGTTGTTCCTCGTGGACGACCACTACTAAACCCCCTGATAGCTGTTCCTGTAGTTTGAAATTGTCTCCAAAGTCGTGAAACGATGCTGTGAGCAATTCCGAACTCTGCAGCCATACTTGTCACACTGCGGCCTTCCTCCAACTTCCCAATGATTCGACCTCGGGTAAAAGCATCCAGATGTCGTCTAACAGATTGATTATTCGCGATTTCTCGCTGAGGCAACAACTCGGTGTGATTTTAACTGCTATACGGCGTGCAATCTCTTTGCCAGAAATACTGATCTTACACCGACAACATGCTTTATACTACTCAAACACTCCCCCATTACGTCTACCTGCATATCTGCGCATGTGCTACCGTACATCACCTTACTTAATCTCCTGATTGGTCTTTCTGTTCGCTCTGCCTCTTCGTTCAGCTGATATGCAAATTTTTCGACTTCGTCCTTAATTTCTGCACACCAGTGTATGCCCCCCTTCTCAAAGTCCGACAACTGTTCGTTCGGTTACGTCTAAGAGGCATATCTTATAACAATACTGTCCATCCAAGTCGACAGATCCGTTCTAATAGCCCTACAGATGGAGCAATCATGCTTTTACTCTCTCAGCTGAGCATCTCATATGTGCATAGCACGCTTAACTTTGTCTCGTTGGCGTCAAAATTTAAATCATTTACATATCTCTTACCATACTACATTTCTGCCGAGTTTCGTGACTGTGGCTCGATTTTTTTCTGGGTGCATATATTTTTTGTGACAGAGTGTATATCAGATATTTCTCTCATATATTCGGAGCGATAGATATTCGAACGAAGATTCCTGAACTGGATTTTCGTAAACAGATCCTTCAGATGTTCCTTCATAAGAAGAAACCGACCATCGTTAAATCGAGTAATTGGTTGGCCAACGGACTGGTTCACAGCGGAAAATCCATC